TCTGCTTCTTCGTGAAGGCAATCACGAAGAGACGCAGGGTATAGCCGTCGGCAGTCTTGGCCTCCACAGCCGCCTCGATCGTCGTGCACCACTTGCGCAGCAGGAAGTAGACGCGGCCGGACGTCATGTCCATGCTGTGGAACTGCGTCAGCAGGTTGCGGCCCTGCACCTCCTGCACCACAAACTTCACCTTGCGGTAGGCGTCGTCATCGCCCTGTGTCTTGTTCAGGTCCGCCAGGTTGCTCTCGTACACGCGCCCGCGCAGGAAATCCGCCGCGATCTTCGTGCCCTGCGTCTTGTTGCAGATGCTCTTGCCGAACTGACGCACCTCAAAGTTCTTGGGGGCTACCACGTCGTACCACTCCTTGCGGCTCATCGCCTCCTGCGCCTTCTTCTTGCCGCGCTTGCCGCCCTTGCTGATGCGCTTGTTCTTCCCGAGCGTCATGACTTCTTTTCTTCTGCGGGTCCAATCATTGCACAGATAGAAAATAACAAAACAACAACAACAAAGAAGAAAAAGAGAGGAAGTACACGCAGGTAAGTCATGGGGGGCCAGATGCACCGCGTGGAAAATATACCAAAAACACAGGCGGGCCACGACCGCGTGAAATTCATCGCAATATGTTTATGAATTCCAATGCAGCGTCTCGCCAAATTCTCCAGAAATAAATACCTTTTTTTTTCTTCTTCTTCTTTGTATGACTTCGTTATGAAGTTTACTCTGTTTCCTTCCCTCCGGCTGTTGTGGCTGCTCTCGTGCCTGCAACTGTGGCGTCGTGGGTCTAATCCATTTCTCTCTCTCTCTTTCCCGGAGGTTTCCTCCACACTGCACCCCCCCCCGTTAAAAGGCAACAAACACCTCGTGGTCCGCCGACACCCCAGTGGCGGAGACCCCGTCAAGGCTCTCCACCCAACCACCGTTCCACGTGTTTCTGCAGCATACCGCCGAGTCCAGACGGTTCCTAAACGACATGGGAGACGACTCCTCCTCCAATGCCTCCTCACTATGGGGATGACCGTTGCCCTTAGCCTTCGCTGGCGCAGCGGCGGCAGGAGGGCTCTTGTGCAGTGGCACAATCCTCACCTCGGCATCAATCCCAGCAACCACCACAGCCTTGCCCGATGCAAAAGTAGCGATGGAACCGATTTCGTATTTGAGGACGTTCGTGCTAACACTCACACGGCTCCATTTGCGCACGTCATGCACGCAAAGCGAGCGTCCAATCGCCGTAGCCACTTCGTACTCATTGCATGTGTGACACACATCCGCCACGTATGACACAGGACTCGTTAAGCGACTAGTAACCAGTGAAATCTCCCGCTTGGTGTCCGTCTTGAGAGTGAGAGCAGCACCGGGGCATCGCACATCGTACAGCGTAGCCACCGGTCCTTCCGCCACCACAGCGCTGTGAGGAATTCCGGAGCAGGCCGTGATGCCAGTGGGTGGATGTAGTGTACCATATTGCCGGACCACGGCTCCAACCTGAACGTCCATAAGACGAAGGTCAAAAAAAAATTCTCTGCAGCAGACAAGCTGCCGAGAAGAAAGCGGCACCAGCCCGCACCAGCCAGGGGCCCCAGGTGTCACTCCGCTCTCAGACGTCGTTGCAGGGGCAATAGTTATCCAAAAAGAACTGTTGACATCGGTCTGCAGACGCGGTCGCTTCTTGGGTGGCTCATCGCTAATTGCCATCACGGATGCAGCGGGGAGTTTGGCGGCGTAAACATTCCCTATCGTGTCAGCCACGTACAACAGTGGCGACGGAAACACGGCTGGATGAGGACTGAATTGCAGCATCTCCATACGACTCTCCGAGGCAAGTTGAATGCATCCAATCCGTTTGCCGGATGGCACGGCGTCGGAATCCCACAAGATCCACCGCCACCGCCACCGCCGTCGTCCCCCTCCACTACGGCGCGGCGTATGAGGCGTGTTCCCTCCAAAAAATCCGTTGTAATAAGCCCTGTCAATGCAACCGAGACAGGAGCTGCGTTTTCAGGAACCTTTGCGTCTCCACGCGTCCCATCCTTCTCACTGTCCTCGTTGTTGTTTCCACTTCCTTTCCTCACTCGATGTGCAACGCCGAGTTGCTGCGGCGCCTCCAACGGGCCAGCCGTCGTCGCAGTGGTGACGCTCAGGTGCACACGCGATCCTTTCGGCACATACGGCCGTCTTCTGACGCTCGCCAGCCCGCGTCCAAAGAACGTCCCCTCGCACTGTGGCAAAGGAGTACGGTTCCATGGCAGTCATCGCAGGCTGATAGGTATATATATATATATATCCTTACGCCTCCTTCCCACTGGCAAGAGAAAAAGCGACTACAAAGACGCGCCTGGCCGCGGCCCTGCTCCCTTCTACCTACAACAACGTCGAGGATACTGCAGTGTGGGGGGTTGAGGACGGGAGGGGGAAGAGAAAAATAACGGCGACAACAACGAAAACCACAAATGCCACCTCTCCAACGTGGCACCGCTGGAAACAAAAGTCAACTAGCCTGTCAAGAAGAAAAAGGAGTGGAGATCACGAAACACCCTTCATCCACTTCGCCCCTGTTGGGTCGCATGTCATTCTGCGAGGCGTCTAAGCCCATGTTGAGGCTGCGTTGCCCCGCACCCGCAGTAACCGAACCAGCCGCGGTGCTGCAAAACAGCGCAAACACCGACACACACACACAATAATAATAATAATAATAATAATAATAAAAATAATAAAAATAAATAAAAAGACACCACCTCCAGGCAGAGATGACGCAAGGAAAAATCAACAACAACAACGAAGCAAATTCAACATGTGCTACAGCGACCTCCACCACC